ACGCCTCTTTTTGGTCAACTGTATTTGCTTTTCCCATAGTACATTAGGCTATAACTTCTTTTAACTAATCATCAGCTAATTGAAACAGCAATGGAAGAAAATCCAAATAATATGACTAGCCAGGAAACAACTTCTGACAGAAATTTCCGTCGACGCACTAGATATGCACAAATGTCACCGGAGAGAAAACAATTGCTTTTATCCCAGCTAAGAGAAAAAAGGGCTGAATCAAAACGACAAAAAAACCTTCACAAATCAAATAGTACTGCCGCTCTTACAATTAGCACTTCTTCTTCAGTTCCTCAACAAGGTTAGCTACGCATATTCTTATCTTCCTTCTGTGAAATCTCTCTGCTGAATATCTATAGCTATACTTACACGATTCAACTAACGTACTATTAATACGTTTTTTTACCTCACTTTGTGATTATAGCTTCCAAAAATACAAATGTACCGTCTGATTCACCTACAGGAGAGCATATAGTTACTTGCTTATCTACCTCCGAGCTAGGTCAATTCAGAAATATTACTTCCACTATTTTGACTATATTCATTTTTACTAATTACGTTGCTATTTGTAAATATTTCTATTCGTCCAAACAGATAGAACTTTCCCAATAGGAAGAGCCGAACATTATCCTTATTTCTTAACCAGAATCAATTTACATGTATGAATAAAACTAGGGTGCTTTCAAATGGTGACAAGTCATTTGCAAATGCATATAATATGTGCTACTTATTTCCCATATCGTCTCTTCATATAATATGTGTTACTTTTTCCCCATATTGTCTCTTCAGTATATTTTACTGCTAATAGTAAATCATCGTGACACTATTGTTTAGTCTTCACAAATTTTTGGACCATATAGTGTTTTTATTTGCGCACAATATTTGCAATAGTTATCTCCCTTTACTAACAGTGCAAGACAACCTAATGAAGTCATGCTCTCCCTTTCCATTATTCCAATGCTCAAAATCGTTCTACATAATAACAATGGATTCATCCTTCGTAGCAACATCAAGGTTTTCATATGGCTATTGAAATACCAAACTACCTTTACACTATCAAAACATCTTCTATTACATAGGTAATGTTTCATTTGTGGTACTCTACAGTCTTATGGCTTCAAACACAACAGATCATGTACTCATTGTAGAAACAACTACTCATTCAATCAATTCCAGATGTTTTCTATGCATTAGTCCCTCGAAATGTTGCACTACTTATATGATGTTTGTCATTAGTCCATATTAGGCTGCTGTTGTCACAAGCCTTTTTTTCCCCCCAGTGTATGTCTTTTTCCCCCCATTACATTACGTTGCAAGTTATTTTAACAAATCATCAATTAGTTGAAACAGGAATGGAAGCACATACAAATAATGTGCCTACCCAGAAGTTACACAAATTTGCGTCGACGCACTAGATATGCACAAATGTCATCGGAGAGAAAACAATTGCTTTATCCCAACTAAGAAAAAAAAGGGCTGAATCAAAAAAGACAAAAAAACCCTTCGTCAATCAAATAGTACTGCTGCTCTTACAATTACCAATTCTTCTTTATCTCCTGAACAAGGTTACCTATGCATGTTCTTATCTTCCTTTGGTCAAATCTCTCTTTTCAATATCTATATCCATGCTTACAAGCTTCACCTGACGTACTGTTAATAGATTTATTCTCCTCATTTTGTGCTTGCAGCTTCCAAACGTCCAAACGTCCCATCTGCTTCAACCAGAGGAGAACATATAGTTACTTGCTTATCTACCTTTGAACTAGGTCAGTTCACAGATATTAGTTCCATTATTTACTCTATATTCATTTGTCATAATTACTTAGCTATCTCTAAATATTTGTGCTCCTCATACTAGGATCGACATCAACTACATCTCATGTTGCAAGCAAATTAACTTCAACACGTACTGCAAATAAAGGTATGAATGTTTCTACCAAAATCATTAAAAACACTGCAATCTTCTGACTTTATATGTAACAACTTAATGCTTTTTACGACGCACAGGCAAAGATAAGTTAGA